AAATCTTTAAAAAAGGTTAAATAAAAATTCAAAAGCATATTTCAGAATTCAAAATTTGGTAAATACCTTCCCTTTCTAACTAAAGATGGTCGATATGATCCGTCAATTACAAAAATGGAAGATGGATTGTATATATAAAACCAACAATAAAATAATTAAAATAGTGTAACAATATTTTGAACATCAAAGTTTTGTCACCAAAACACATTTAGTTGTAATATATAATTGCAGTTATTGCAGATGTATAAATCTTACGAAAAATACATTTAAAACTAAGTTATTTCTTCAGCTTAATTGGGCATATTACCAGCATAGCTTGTCTGTAAAATGAGAAAGGCGTGAAAACATTCATCTGTTTTACACATTTCATGTACATAATAGAGTCACTTGCAATAAGCCATTGTTGTGACAAACCTTTCCAGACTGATTCACAGCGATAAAATGATTATGCAGTATGAAGTATTTGATAACATACCAGTATCTAAACTAAAAGGAAGTAAACATTTTATGATGGTTGCATTTCTTTTTATATTCTAAATTTTATTGATGTCTTTTTATTGGTAGTATAAATCCTAAAGGGTTTTGTTTTATTGCAAAATGTTTGTAGTATGCCTGACTTGTTCTATTTTTGTTATACTGCACTATACAAGAAATTTCCAAGCCCAAGACGTGGGACAAGTTAGAGGCTATAATTGCTTTACGTTTTGTTGATTTTCTCTTTATATAACCTTCATAGATATAAATATAAGTATCCAAAAAAGTTACAGTAAAATCGTATTTATTACACATATTTCACTTACTACACATTATTGATACACGAGTCACCTTTGTCATTAATCTGTTTAGAATATCCAGATTAAGACCCTTATAATACCTATGCATTACGTACACACGTACTTAAAAAAAGATTCATGTGATCTTTGCATGACACACATATACATGTAATACTATTTTGATTAATCATAACTTTTTATGTGAAAAACTACAGTCGAATTTACGAAAAATAATTCATTGTTGCGCAATCGTGTGCCTTGATTGTATGACTCATGAAAATATGTTTGAGTAAAATAGGAGAAGATATAATAACAAACAGTGATTGATCTAAAAAAAAATCTTTAAGCAAAACAAATCCGTGACCCTGGTAAAAACATTACGTTCTTATTTAAAGGACCTATGTGCGACTTTTTAATGCCTATTTATGTTGCTGTACACCTTTTCATAAACAAAATAAGATAAAATGCATGTTTGGTAATTTTTGGTAAATTTTTCTTTAAATAAAACTAGGAATTTCTTTATTTGATATCTATCCAAAACCCCTTGTAAACTAATGAATGATGATTTTTGCTCTGAGAACATCTGGAGGGACTATGATTTTTAATTACATACATCCTTATGACCTTAGCCTGAGAGCAGGCCCACCATGCATTTGATTGTCAATGAGATTATCCACATTTAAACTTGTAACCCGTGGTTCTAGAATTTAATCCATTGAAAAGTCGAATAAACTTGAGATCAGCAGAGTGCAACGGGGTTATTCATTTGAACAAGTGTCAGAAACATGCTATTTTGAAATTAAAGGAATACGCGTCAAGGTCCATTGCGATACTGTTAATTCCAATGCCAGTTCCTTTAGAATTTATATTATCGATAAACAAGCCTAAATAAAATTTATAGCAAAAAAATAAAAACTACGCAACCATCATAAATTTTTTTATTTCCTTTCAGTTTAAAGACTGGTATGTTCACAAATAAGCTATCAACAGACATAATACAAGTGAAAATGGATCGAGTGTTTACAAGAAGGGTTCCTGGGGAAAATACTGCGATTGTACCTTTATTAAGTGATATGATACTCAACTTTCGCAAAAGCATCTGAATAAAAAAAAATGACGCACAAAATTAATTTTTCATTTTAGCCAAAGTTATTGCAATAAAAGATTTTGATGTTTCAAAATCGGCAACTCACACAACACTACTTAAACATAGAATCAATCAGTACCCTTAACATCGCCCGTTTTATTATATGTTTGTAGCATTCACATCTGGAATATAAAAGTATAGGTGATATTAAGACTCTTTCTTGATTTAATTTGATTTGTCATTTTCGATGGCTATCATTAATGTCAATAAATTTTTTCTTTGTCATTTTTTAAAATATTTGTGCAGTTACATATATCGAAACGCGTGAAACATATAAACAGCATTTTAATGTCCTAAACGTTTGCTGATATTGTTTGGATAACTGTTCAGTCAGGGATTCGATTTTTTCAGACAATAAATACAGGCTAAGGTTGTCAAAGTTTTAATTTATTTTAGTTAATGGAAAAATGGTTCCTACTCTCAATCAGAATCAAAAAAGCATATTACTTAAATTCTGAATTCTATATCTTAACAACTTAAAATTCAATTAAGATAGTTTAATTTTTATTTTATTTTAAAACCACGACAATACAGATATTATATAATTCTATATCTCAAGAACTTATTAAAAAATTCAATTTAGATAATATAAGTTCTATTTCATTTTTAAACCACGACAATAACAGATCCTATTTACATCGTTTTGTTTCCTTTATATTGCTAATATAAACATGTAAGTATTAAACAAAGATTTAATAAAGTTTCTTTCATTTTGTAAGTTCATTAGTATTAGGAACTAAGATTTTCACAGGAAGGTCTTTCTAGAAAGAAACATATGTATAGTATTGTCTTTTAGTATGAATATATATTAGCATGATATTTAAAAAAAAATGCATCGTAAATTTTCAATGAAAAAATACAGAGAGAAATTTTTCCTTGCAATCTAATGTGTTTCAAAAAAATTTCATTTCCATTTATTGTCTGATGCGTTGATATTGAAATAAACATTATCAGAAGCAAGAATATGTTAAAGCTGTTAAAATATCTCCACACAAAATCTCAACGAATGCTCTATTCAAATTATAATCTCCATATTGCATTTCATTAAGAACTGAACGATGACCTTTCTTTATTTGGAAAGCTTCTTTACAAATGCCTACCTGAAAATACATTATTTGAACTACTGGGTCGATCTATGAAAAGATTGATAAAATTTTATATTTAAAGTCCTTGAAGCGTTACTAAAATGAGTGAAAAAGAGGTGACGTCTTGTCCAAATAATGATAGGTCTGGTTCGTGGCATTCTTCATGGCCAAATTGTACGTTTGCACTAAATGTAGACTTCCTTAAACCTCAGTTTCAAAGCTAGTTAATGAAGATAATTGCTTAAACTTCCAATCTTTCTGATCTTGATTTTGTAAAGAAAAATATATCTTTAGATTAAACAGACTTTAAATCGTTTTCTCTCATTTTATCAAATATGCAATATGTGTGAAGTTGACTTAAAAATACCAACAGACAAAAGCTGCAACCAGTTAAAGAAACAAGTAAAAAAAAAAGCCAGAAAAAAAAACAACCAGCTGAATTCTCCCAACATTATCTTGGGCATATTGAAAGATGTGGCTAAGCTAAATTTTTACTAAAAGGACATTAGCATTCTAAATGAAAAGTAAGCGGTCTTTTACCTCACCCAGCTGTGTCTTTATATTGATTAGGATACATTGACACAACGCATGTCTGATATCGTGTTCGTACGTGTCCGTATTCTGACAATAAAAGACAAAGACATACATTTAAGAAATGAATTTAATTTTTTAGAATTCATGAGGACATGAACTACGACGCTTCACGCCGGCATATTTCATGAAGCGCGTTAGCGCTTCATGTACCTCATGAATTCTCAAAAATTAAATTCATATCTTATATTTACATTATTTTTCTGATGACTTGCCACATATTTTTGAAACAAAAAAGTTTGCACTATTTTTTGACTTCAATTATGCCACAATGGAAATATTCTTACTCATCCCACGGTAGTTCATGAGATCATGATCTTTTTACAGATTTGCAAAGAATCTTAAGGAAAATATTTGGAAATGTAAATATTACAAAATATTCACTTTTCACGTTAATATACATTCATGAAAATTTACAAGAAGCATGTATTTCAAATAGATATAAATCTTAATGAATATTAGTAAACATCAAATAAGTGTATCTAAAATTTGTAATTTTCCCAGATTTGCGTTTTTCACACCAAAGAGAGCTTCTCCCGTGATATGTATCCAAATCCTTCCTCCTCGACATCTAAACTTAAATCTGTGTAAACTACTACTTTTGTAATATTATGAGTTCTAAAAAATCTATACTTTTATATTGTCTGATAGAATATGTGCTACAAACTTTAATGAATATTTAATTGTTTTGCTAACCTTTTTGGAAAACATGAGATAGGCTGCATGATAACGTTACATACACTGCCCATTTCCTTTACAGAACTGTTCAAAATTTTCGGTAATTGTTTCCCAACCTCAATTGTAAAGATATTAATATGAGATGACTTTCTTTTTTAACGAGTTATTAACACAATTGTCATTTCCAACATGTATACATGTTTCGAGTAGATAATGTTTTGATTGAAAGTCGGGTCTGCTGTAAAGTCAGATTGGGGAAGGGGGTCATCCATTTGCCATTTTCATAAATGTTCTGCATGGACAATCTTTGTTTTCATGTATTTACAGATTATGCCTGTATTTCGCGTATTTGCACATAGTCTGTCGTCGTTAGTAACAGATCCATAGGACACCATCTTGTTCATCATTTGTAAAACTAATTGATAAAGAACGTCTAAAATATTTCTGCAATGAATAAAGAATCTCAAGTAAAAGTATAATATCATTTAAATCTATAGTCCATACTGTTTTATATACATGATTAACAATTCAAAGTGCATGTATGTATATCCAAGTACATGTTACTATATATACATGTATAATACAGCTGAAAAGCATCCACAATTCATACCCTGCATTTATTACTGGGCAAATTTAAATCCTGTATAGCCACTGGTCCTCGTGCTATTAATTAAGATATACAAAAAAAGACGTATGTTTTGATCAACAACTTAAAATTCTTTTCAGAGCTCCACAAATGGAACTTTCCGTGCGAGTCTTCGTAGTATTCTTCATATCAACTGGATTTTTCTTCCTCTTGTTTGAAATGTTTTCGTCTTCAGAAGTTATGCATGTGCAACCTGTCAATAATAAAGGATCTTCCGATTCAGCGAAACAAACAATGGACGAAATACCTACTGTTATTCAGAACAATTACAACTCGTCCCAGAAAAACAAAAGGGGCGAATTACCTACTGTTATACAGAAAAATTACAACTCGTCCCAGGAAAACAAAAAAGAATACAGAATATTGTGGTACAATATACCATTTTATCTAGTGGATAGTTTTAATTATGCAAATTCTAAAAAATGTAAGAAGCATCCTAATTGCTTGTTTACAAAGAATTCAAGAGATCTACAGAAAAGTGACGTTGTATTGTTTACACATTCTACCATGGGAGGTAACCCGCCTCCTAAGAAACCCAATCAAATGTGGATATTTAACACAATGGAGAACACAGCATTCATGTCGAAACCCTCAAAAAGCTATGAAGCTAAATTAGATTGGTTAATGTCATACCGGAGGAAATCAGATATATACAGGCCTTATGGGACCTTGATAAGACGGACTAAACCTTTAGAAAAGGATTATTCGGAAGTGTTTAAGAAGAAGAAGAAACTGGGTGTCTGGATGTCTGGGCATTGTCCTGTGCCATCTAATCGAAGAAATCACATAAAAGAACTGAAAAAGTATATAGAAATCGATATGTTTGGGACGTGTGGAAATGGCGAATGCTTAATTCGAACACCATTTATAACAGAGTGTTTGCGAAACTTTTCTCGGGACTACAAATTTTACTTTTCTTATGAAAATAATATTTGTGAAGACTATACCACTGAGAAAACTTACAACATGTATTTGGAAAATCTAAATATGGTGCCTATTATAAATGGCCCATCATCGGCGCCCGAGTATTTACCTAAAGGTTCGTTTATAAGTGCTTTGGATTTTCCGTCGCCTAAGGCCTTGGCAGAGAAAATCAAAGAAATAGCCTCCAATGAAGCTTTGTTTACGCAGTACCTAAAAGAAAAAGACAAGTATTATGAAATTGGTATTCATGAGGTGTTTCTAAATTCCATGTGCCAGATATGTGACATTTTGGATAAAACAAATGGAAAACCTGAGCGACCCAAAGGAACCATTATGCAGCGCTATTTTTCTCATGGCGAATGCTGATTTGTGCTCACGAAATAAATGACATGAAAAATTCAAAAAAAGTCCTATTTGCTGAATTTTATTAGTTCACTTGCCTTTGCTTTGCAAAATTTTTAAACTTCTTTTGATAAAGGGAGGAACAAGGTGGCCCGAATGAACATTAGTGAAATTATTTTGTTTGTTATATCAACTAGTGAAAGAAGGCTCAAATTATTTCACAACCCATTTAAACAGGGATTCTTAAGTAACAAAAGGATTATCCTCTATCTAGGAATTACAGCAACTAACCAACCAGCACGTGCTCTTTATTATAACATCTTAATGAATACGAATAAAGAAATTGCACTTTTATAAGTTCAGGATAGGTGAACGTCCTCATACCATAGTTGAAAAAAAAAATGATCGTTTAGGTTTTTTTTTTTTTTTTTTTTTTTTTTTTTTTTAAAGTGCTATCCTAAGTTTATCTACGTACGCATTAAAATGAAAATGGGGTACAATTTTTGTTTATTCTCTGTAAAACTAAAATTTTACTAATTCATGGATTTATCTCCGGTATTGTAATGTTCATGTATGTTTCTATCGCTATATTTTAATTTAATTTTGTATTCATCAAGTACGTCTAGTATTTATGATTTTTGAAAAATAAAGTTTGTAGAAAATTTACCAAATATCGCCTCTATTAAGTTTTTTTCCCCACAATTTCTTTCACCGAATTTAACAGGGCTTTAAATTTTTGAGGTTTATTTTGATAATGCTAGGTAATAAATTCCATATTCCATCATCTAAAACAAATTATTCGTCCTTTGAAACAGAGCAGCAGTTTATTTTTTCCTTCTTTCTGAAATCATACTGGTTCCAGCTTGGATCTAAATAACATACTGCAATCAGCCTTTGCAAGTAGGCAGGCAGTTCACGACATTGCCTAAATGTGAAAGGTAAAGATAACGAACGGTGATCGATCTCAAAAAATCTACAATCAGTACAAATCCGTGAACAGGGTATGATGCATGGACCCCAGGAAATTCCATAGGTTGGTATCAGGTAACAGACGACCAGTCATTCCCGCCGTGAACCCTTTGTATTGCTCAGGTTGACTGAACATTCAAATTCATTGGCAAATTTAGAATTAAAATCAAAGGCCTAAACAACGTGCATGTCGCTTCAGTGATCCCAGTCCATTTCAACAAGCACGTCTCCGAACCGCTTCAATGATTACAGTCTTCTGATGCATGATTATCTGAAAAAATAAGTTGGACGGGTGCATATGCCCCCAACACGTACTTGGACGTGTTGAAACCAGATCAGAAAATCACTTAAATGCAATATTTTTTTTTTATAAGAAAGACTGTCTGAATGAAATATGGACGAGTGTAATATGAGTCTGACAAGAATATTTAAAGCTGAACATGACTAGGAAATAAGCATACGCCATATTTGATTTCCTTTCTCCTATATCAGCACTAATCTATAAAAAAAAAAAACCAAACAAACTTCGCATTCGTTACACCTAATTGATTTTACCTGTTCGCTGCTGCGTGTAGTATATGTATTTCTTACATTATCATTTTTGTTTACGTCTTATTTCATGGTACGTGCATTTGTGTTTATCATATCTCCTATTTGAAAAGCGGGGGGTGTATGTAGTGGGGGTGCCCGTCCGTCCGTCTGTCTGTACGTCCGTCCGTTAGGCTTTTGGGTACACATCTCTTATCCACAACTTCTCTTATACCACTGAATAAAATTTAATGAGACTTTCACAGAATCTTTGTTACATAGTGCCATTGTGTACCTCCTTTTTTACTTTTTGATCAGACACATATTTCGAGTTTCCAATAGTAAAACACAGACATTGCCATTCTTTCTATAATATTGAGAGGTACCCATCTCTTATCCGCAACTCCTCCTATACCACTGAATAAAATCTGATATAAAGTCATTTTGCACCTCCTATTTTACGTTTTTTGTCGGACACTTGTTCGGGTCTCCCATAGCAAAACATGGACTTTGCCATTATAAACACATGGGAGGCGGGGGTAACATTTTGTGAGCTGAGTTCTCACAGTACCTCTAGTTTACTTTGTAATGCATTGACCTGTGCAGTAAATGTCGAATATCTTTGGTAATTTTTTTCCTGACGTGGCAGAGGTATACAGATATATTTTTTTGTCTAGCTCACCCACATATATCACAATGACAATGAAGGAGACATATGTTCAGGTAAAGTCTCTACAGCAAAATACACTGAACCGTGAACAAAGCTGACGCTTATATAGGGGCTGGAGAAGGACAGCTAAAGAAGACATATATGGCAGAAAAAGATAATTTTCTTCCTTTTAGGAATCTTTTTCAGCTTTAAGAATTCATGTGAGCGTAGAAATCATTTTATATGACAAAATTAGACATGCTTTGGAGGCTGAGCATGACTACAAGAGAGGTGCATTTCTTCAGGAAAGTTTTATAATTTATAAAGGATTGTTGCTATGCATGTTTTAAAGGTTTTTTTTGCTTTTAATCAATACGCAAAAACTACCGTGTAGCTTTATGTCAGTCATAGACCTGGGGTCAGGTTACGGTCAGGACAAGGTTTCACGTTTCATTATTAATAGGTATATAATACAATTCCTCACAATAAGAACTGTAGCAGACAGTATAAAGGGTATGATGTGTAAACTTAATATCAAGTATCAATAAAGTACATATCAAACAGGTCCATATAGAAATCCATGTCAGTGGGCGGGGCACAACCTAGCAAATTAGATAATTCCTTGACAAGCAAGCAAGAGTAAATAAAGAAAGGTATGGCGTGTGAAACGTTGCATTATTATACTTTTTTGTTATTTTTATTCAAAGAATTTATTATTCTTCTTCTAAAACATATTCCTATTCGATAAAATGTTATTCCTATTCAATAAGTTGTTATTCCTATTCAATAAGTTGTTATTCCCATTCGATAAAATGTGATTCCTATTCTATAAGTTGTTATTTCTGTTCGATAATCTGTCATTTATATTCGATAAATTGTTATTCCTTTTGGAAGAAACATCATTTCTATTTCAAAATATATCATTCATATTCGATAACATGTGTTTCCTATTCGATAATTTTGTCATTCAGGACTGTTTGATAATTTTGTCATTATTATTCGACAATTATGTGATTTATATGCAATAAACTTCTTTTCCTAATCGAAAACATATCTATTCTTATTCGAAAATATACGGTTCCTGTTCGATAAACTTGTTAAGAATATCGATTAGGAATTGTTTGTTTTCGGATAGGAATGATATCTTTTTCAATAGGAATAACATATTTATCATTTAATTATCGAATAAGAATGACAAAACTATCGAATAGGAATGACAGAATTATCGAATTGGAATCACATGTTTTCGAATGAGAATAACAACTTAACGAATAGGAATGATAAATTATCGAATATAAATAACATTTTTCGCGTAAGAATAACAACTTATCGAATAGAAATAACATTTTATGGAAGAGGAATGATATGTTTTAGAACAAGAATAGCAAAATTTTTGAATAAGAATAACAAAAAAGTACAATAATGCAACGCTTTACACGCTATAGATAGGCATTACTATTGAGGGGGCAGAAAAGTAAGTTAGCTTCATTTCGTATTGTAAAGTATATACTGGCAAAATTATTTGGGGACACGCCTCTCAACCCGGTTCTTACTAGCCTGTTAAAATTAAACTTCATGTATCGAATTTTAGTCAGAAAATACAGATTGTAGTTGGTATCTTGATTTCATGTCCGAGAACTTTTCTGTTGAACTGTGGGTTGAATGGGATGTATCCCATAAAAATAAATATTAATGTAAGGATCAATATCCCAGTCGTGTTCTCCTCGGGATAAAAAGTGGTGTGGGAGTAGAGATTTCATTTAATATAGCTGTGATAAATTATCATATGTGAATAAATAAAGGGGAATAACTTCTCTCAAAGTAGAGTATTAATTTCCCTACATCATCAATGAAGCAAAGTATTTTGAGTGCACGGGCAATTATTAAGCAATTGTCATATAATACTAATGTCAAACCATATCAATCTGAATTTATAAAAATACTTTGTAAGAACAAAAAAGGATCCAGAAATATTTATGATTACTTAATGTCAAAAATACAGCACAAACCAGTTTGTGAAAACAAATGGGCTACTGATTTAAACTTAGAGTCAAATTTCAACTGGAAACATGTTTATGCAAACTTTAAATTGATAACAAAAGACTCAGGACTTATGTGGTTTAATTATAGAATTATTCACAGAATATTAGGTACTAATAAGTATTTATATTTGTCTAAAATTAAAAATTCACCACTTTGTTCAATATGTAAATTTGAACCAGAATCAATTAAGCATATATTATTTCTAATGTCCACAGGTTTCTATGATTTGGCTAGAATTGTCAGATTGGATTTTTCAAAAGTCTGGTAAAAGAATTGAATTTGATGTGAAAACTGTTATTTTTGGTTATCTGGAAAAAGATCACATGGTAATAAATTTGTTAATCCTGTTGGTGAAGAAATACTTATTTCAACAATCAAGTAAAAACAATAAAAAATATTTACATTTTATAAAAATAGATGGTCCAAGTGGAAATGTCTTTTTAATGTGTCTAATAGTAACTCTTAATATTATGAATGATTATGTATTGTATATCGGGTATTTATGTTTTTGTGTGTGTGTGTGTATAATTATGTATATATATATATATATATATATATATATATATATATATATATATATATATATATATATATATATATATATATATATATATATATTTACATTTCCAATGTCTTTGTCCGAGATAAAATTACAAAATGTAAAAATACTTTATTTCTACATAAATCTACTGGTTCATCGATAGGTGCGGTTAAAAAAAAATCACGTGCGGGGCGGGACAAATAGAGACAGAAGCGGGGCTATTAGCACGGGAATTTGCAGAATCAGGAGCATGTAAATATAAGGAATAACTGTCAGATTTTTTGGATTCATGACGATGATCAATCGATT